ACACAACACATTGCATAAACAAACACACACTGCATAAACACAACACACACTGCATAAACACAACACACACTGCATAAACACAACACACACTGCATCAACACAACACACACTGCATAAACACAACTCTCACTGCATCAACACAACACACACTGCATAAACACAACACACACTGCATCAACACAACACACACTGCATCAACACAACACACACTGCATCAACACAACACACACTGCATCAACACAACACACACTGCATCAACACAACACACACTGCATCAACACAACACAGACTGCATCAACACAACACAGACTGCATCAACACAACACACACTGCATCAACACAACACACACTGCATCAACACAACACACACTGCATCAACACAACACACACTGCATCAACACAACACACACTGCATCAACACAACACACACTGCATCAACACAACACACACTGCATCAACACAACACACACTGCATCAACACAACACACACTGCATCAACACAACACACACTGCATCAACACAACACACACTGCATCAACACAACACACACTGCATCAACACAACACACACTGCATCAACACAACACACACTGCATCAACACAACACACACTGCATCAACACAACACACACTGCATCAACACAACACACACTGCATCAACACAACACACACTGCATCAACACAACACACACTGCATCAACACAACACACACTGCATCAACACAACACACACTGCATCAACACAACACACACTGCATAAACAAACACACTGCATAAACACAACACACACTGCATAAACACAACACACACTGCATCAACACAACACACACTGCATCAACACAACACACACTGCATCAACACAACACACACTGCATCAACACAACACACACTGCATAAACACAACTCACACTGCATCAACACAACACACACTGCATCAACACAACACACACTGCATCAACACAACACACACTGCATCAACACAACACACACTTTATCAACACAACACACACTGCATAAACAAACACACTGCATAAACACAACACACACTGCATAAACACAACACACACTGCATCAACACAACACACACTGCATCAACACAACACACACTGCATCAACACAACACACACTGCATCAACACAACACACACTGCATCAACACAACACACACTGCATCAACACAACACACACTGCATCAACACAACACACACTGCATCAACACAACACACACTGCATCAACACAACACACACTGCATAAACAAACACACTGCATAAACACAACACACACTGCATTAACACAACACACACTGCATCAACACAACACACACTGCATCAACACAACACACACTGCATCAACACAACACACACTGCATCAACACAACACACACTGCATAAACACAACTCACACTGCATCAACACAACACACACTGCATCAACACAACACACACTGCATCAACACAACACACACTGCATCAACACAACACACACTTTATCAACACAACACACACTGCATAAACAAACACACTGCATAAACACAACACACACTGCATTAACACAACACACACTGCATCAACACAACACACACTGCATCAACACAACACACACTGCATCAACACAACACACACTGCATAAACACAACTCTCACTGCATCAACACAACACACACTGCATAAACACAACACACACTGCATCAACACAACACACACTGCATCAACACAACACACACTGCATCAACACAACAGACACTGCATCAACACAACACACACTGCATCAACACAACACACACTGCATCAACACAACACACACTGCATCTGAAAATCTCTTAGAAATACACTACATTGGCAGAAAAACATTACAAAACATTACATTACTATATAGAAATCTGTGTGTGTGTGTGTGTGTGTGTGTGTGTGTGTGTGTTTCAGGAGGAGTAACGGGGGAAACTCCAGCATAGAGACGGTGTGTCACAATCCAGCGCTGTTGTTTCACGGCCACAATCTGACGGACTCTCAGAGCCGCGTGTGTCAGATGAGGAGGGTGGAGGAGGACTTGTACATCTGCTCCTGTAACGATGAGGAGTGCAATGATCGCCTCTTCTTTAACCACGGTAAACCTCACATGAGTGAAGCTGAGCCCTGCAGCATTGTAGATGAGTAGAATGATACAAATACACCTCACAGCAAGAAGGTCGCTGGTTCGAGTGCCGGCTGGGTCAGTGTGTGTTTCTGTGAGGAGTTTGCATGTTCTCCCCGTGTTGGTGTGGGTTTCCTCCGGGTGCTCCGGTTTCCCCCACAGTCCAAACACATGCGCTATAGGGGAATTGGGTAAGCTAAGCTGTCCGTTGTGTGTGTGTGTGTGTGTGTGTGTGTGTGTGTGTGTGTGTAAATGAGCGTGTACGGATGTTTCCCAGTACATGCGCTAGGGGAATTGATGAACTAAACTGGCCGTAGTGTATGAGTGTGTGTGTGAATGTGTGTTTCTTAGTGCTGGGTTATGGCTGGAAGTGCATCTGCTGTGTAAAAACATATGGTGGAATAGTTGGCGGTTCATTCCGCTGTGGCAATCCCTGATAAATAAAGGGACTAAGAATAAATATGAAACTAAAATTTCTAAAACTAAATTAGTAAACATCCTAAGCCAAGTGTGTGTGTCTGTGTGTGTGTGTGTGTGTGTGTGTGTGTGTGTGTGTGTGTGTGTGTGTGTGTGTGTGTGTGTGTGTGTGTGGTTTCCTGTCTGAAGATCACAGCTCAACTGTTTGTCTGTTTTACTGTGTGATTACAGTAATGTGAAGCAGTCTGGGAAACTCGCACTAGGAAAACACCCCTCGTGCCCGTGTTTATTATCTATCAGAAATGATTTGAGTCCAGTTTTAGATTATTAACAGGAAGCTGAATCACTCGATCGTGTGATGCTAAAACAAGATCTGTAAAAAAGTGGCGCTTTTGCCTTTGTGATTTTGTCTTGTTTTTCATCTACGCATTAAACTAAATTGATTTTTCTTCAGAAGCAAAATTATACAAATGAGCCGTCTTGTCTTCTGAGAAATAATCAAAATTAAAATATCTGTTATTTATGTAAGGCTGCAGTAGGTGATTGTCTTCAGACACGTGTGTTGTTGTGCTGGGTGAAAGTCTCTTCACATGTCTTTATATTCTGGGTGAGGCGTACGACTTACAAATGTTCGTCCAATTAAAAATTGCCGGGCCGATAATTTCCATAATTCTGGTAAGTAGCCCAAACTGTCTGTCAGCAAATGCAGATTTGTGGTTGTACAAATACAAATACAACAAACAAAACAGCCACCATTTTGGCCGGTCACCTACTGCCCCTTTAATGCATTTAAAGCTGTTTTCAGATATTTTTTAATTTTTACTGTGTTGTTGTTGTTGTTGTTGTTGTTGTGTTTAAAATGAAAATAATCTATTGTATAATATTTTAGTTGATTCATTTAAATAAATTTAGTAAATTTAAGTAAAATAGTTAACTCATTTATAACATTTTATTTCTTCATCATTAAGTTTAATTGCATAAACATTTTATTTTTTTAAATTGCTTAAAAACAAATTGCTCAGTCATTTTTTTTTTTTTAATTCATTCATTCATTTATTTTAATTTCGGCTTAGTCCCTTTATTAATGAGGGGACGCCACTGCGGAATGAACCGCCAACTTATCCAGCATATGTTTCCCACAGTGGATGCCCTTCCAGCCGCAACCCATCACTGGGAAACATCCATACACACTCATTCACACACATGTATTCACTACAGCCAATGTATCTTACCCAAATTTTCTATAGTGTATGTGCTGGGACTGTGGGGTAAACTGGAGCACTCGGAGGAAACTGGGGGGAAAATGCAAACTCCACACAAAAATGACAGCTGACCCAGCCAGGACTCAAACCAGCGACCTTCTTGCTGTGATGCAGCTGTGATTTAATTTTTGAGAATGTTTTTTTAAATCATTATTAATTGCATATGCAATGCATGTGTTATTATTTATTATTATTTTTATTGTATATGTAATATGTACTTTCATATTATAACTTTAACATTTTTTTACATGTTGTTTAATTGAAAAATAATATTTTTTTTCCTTTTATTTGATTTAAATGAAGATTTTAAAGCAAATAAATAAATGAAAATAAATTTTCAGATTTTTTTTATAATCATATATTGCATTTTTTTATCCGTATTTTTTATATTATTAATTTTATATTTTTTAGCATTTAGTTTAATGGCATAATAAAATAGTTATTATTGTTGTTTTTGTTAAGATTGCATGAAGATAACAAATATACCCATTTAATTATTTTTAAAATAAAATATTTTGAGATTTTTTTAATCATATATTTAATTTTTTTTAAATCCATATTTTTATATTATTTCTTTTATATTTTGTAGCATTTGGTTTAAATGCATTTTTTTGTTTAATTTACATTGAATAAAGATACTAAAACAATTAAATATGATCATTTATTAATTTATTTTTTATTAATCTTATATTAATTGTTTTTTTATTGTTTTTCTCATGCTCAGATTTGAAACAATATCCAGGGGTTCAGTTCGATCCCCCCTCTGAGTCATCATGGTTCAGTCTGGCTCCAGTTCTGATCTCCGTCTTTGTCCTCATCCCAATCGTCCTGCTCTCCGTCTTCTACTGTTACCACATCAGTCAGCACAAACTGAAGCTCCCCAATAAGAAGAGTCTGGACAGCGAGAGATGCAACATTTTCATGAATCCAGAAGAGCATTCGGACAGCAGCTCCATCAACGCCAACAGCCTGAACCACAACACTGAGCTGCTGCCCATCCAGCTGGACAGAGTTGTGGGAAAAGGACGATTCGCAGACGTTTATAAAGCCAAGCTGAAGCAGAGCGCAGACTCCTTCCAGACGGTGGCGGTAAAGATCTTCCCGTATGAGGAGTTTTCCTCGTGGAAGAGTGAATGGCAGATTTTCTCTGACGTCGAACTTCGGCATGAAAACGTCCTGCAGTTTCTGACAGCAGAAGAGCGGACGGCAGAGCGACAGTATTGGCTGATCACGGCCTATCACGAGCGAGGAAACCTGCAGGTGGGGACGACTGCCAAACTTTTATGACTCTTTGGTCTCAAATCAGTGATTTTAAGTGGATAAAAAATTGGGAAGTTCAGGTGATTTCAGTCATTACCGTTTCAAACTTTTTTAAAAACTAAAAAAAATTTCCACTAGGGGGCGATTTGTGTAAAGGCCGATTTGCAGACGAATGCAGTAGTGATGGCTGCTTACGAAGCATTGCTTCATGAAGCTTAAAAACTTTTATGAATCTTTGGTTTCGAATCAGTGATTTTAAGCATGTATAAAATTGGGAAGTTTATGTAAATTTTTTGTGCTATTACCGTTTTGAAATTTTTGAAAATTCAATGTTTCTCCACTAGGGGGCGATCTGTGTAAAGGCCAGTTTGCAGACAAATGCAGTAGTGGTGGCTGCTTTCAAAACACTAAGCTTAATCTTCGAAACTTTTACAAATATTGTTTCGAATGATTGGTTTTGAGCATGTATCAAATTGGAAAAGTCATGTGATTTCGGTAAACGCTCTTCGTTATGACGTAACGAGGTAATTTTAGTAAACTAAGACTGTTGGTCCAAACTTTGTCAACTAAAATAAAATAAATGCTAAACTAAAACTAAACAAAGCTAACAACAGTCACTTTAAAACTAGCTGGAATAAAATAATTAGTGTTTACCAACATAATAGTCATTTGTTTTGAATCAGATGTTCAGAGTGTGTATCAACAGGCCAAAGTCACATGATTTTGTTAACTCATTAAAGCTTCTAGACTTTTTTAACGTGTATCAAATTAGAAAGGTCATGTGATTTTAGTAAACACACTTTTGTTACGTCATTACCATTTCGAAACGTTAAGAACATTTTAATGGTTGTCTTTTTGGAACTGATTTGGAGCACGGTTATTTTAGTGAACAAAAACAAACTATTGGTCAAATGTATTTTTGTTAACTGAAATAAAATTTAAAAACTAAAACTAAATGGAGCTAATAACAGTCACTATAAAACTAACTGAAATAAAATAATAGTTAGTAAAAACACCTGTAGATTAGAGAAACACATGTAGATGCACTTTTACTATAGATGCTGCTTTCTATAAAACATGTTGAACAGTTTTGAAAAGTCAAGGGATTTATTTGTGATTCATTAATGTTTCGAAACGTTTCGAAAATTTAATATTTCTCCACTAGGGACCTGTGTAAAGGACGATTTGTAAGCGTTTACAGACAAAATCTTGTGGTTTCACCAGAGGACGATCTCTGCAATGCTATACTAACTAATAACCAACATCGGATATGAATAGGAATTCAGTTCGCCCTCTAGTGGTGCATACCTGAACTGGTTTCATAGTTTTTGCCCCATCTCAGATCAGTTTTAGGAGTTCAGTTTTACGAGTTTATATCACTTTTAATGAGACGTTTGTAAAATGAAAAGAAATAACGTTAGTTAATAGTCTACTGTTGGCTTTTTTACGATATATAACAATATATAAGCGTTTTATTATTTATGAAAGAATGCATTTTATGCAGACACAAATTATGTAATAATATTAGATGATAAGCCAAGTTCATTTATAGTTTATAGTTTTGATTTAAAATATGTTTGTTTTTAATATGTTCGAAAAAGTCAATTCTAGTCTAGTTTTTGTTGCAATAACATGTTTTTGACCAGCAGGTGTCACTAGCATGTATTTCGAACACTCATTTTCAATAATTTTGGGAAGATTGAATTTGAAGTTTTGAAATGTTTTGTTTGTCTCTTCAGGAGCTGCTGGCGCTACAAGTGATTGGCTGGGAGGAGATGTGCCGATTGGGCGTGTCTCTGGCAAGGGGCGTGGCTCACCTGCACTCGGATAGGACACCGTGCGGAAGAGCCAAAGTGTCGATTGCGCACCGAGACCTGAAGAGCTCAAACGTTCTGGTGAAAAGCGACTGGAGCTGCTGCGTCTGCGATTTCGGCCTCAGCCTGAGACTCGACAGCTGCCTGAGTCCTGAGGAGCTGGCCAATAGCGGACAGGTTAACGCATGTTTTTCATTAATGCTTGGTTCTGATTGACTGAATAATGGACTTCTGATTGGACTTCTGGAGTGTGCTTCGAAACGGAACAAGCGAACAATATAGATGGAAACATAGTCATGCAAATAAACTACAAGTAATATTATAAAATAAATAAAAATAATTCAATATAAAACTTACTTTAAATGTAATAGATTGTATTATATTAACAATTAAAAAAAACTAATTAATTCAAAAATATCTAAAAATACAGCTTTATTTTAATAAATTATTTAATTTATTTTCTTTAGATTCTTCATGCGCTCTAAATAAAAAAAATTTATGCAATTAAATTAAATAAATACATTAAATGTATAATATAAAACAAATAAAAATCTTAAATAATTTAAAATTAATTATATACAATAAAAATATCTGAAACATACAATAAAACGCGCTCTAAGTAACATATTTCATATTCGCAAACATGTAAACAGCGCCCTCTAGTGTAATTGTGGTCTGAAATGTACAATGAAACAAACATTATAGAATTAATTTAAGTTTATAATTAATTTTTAGATTTTTGACTGCTGAACTCAGTGATTTGGAGCTGTGAAGTGCTCAAAACCTGCCGGAACTACTTTAGCTGTGCCTTTTTCTGACAATAACCAAGCACCTTAGAATGACCATCAGCCAGTCAGAATCAAGCATGCAACAGCACTGTAGTATAAATCACTCTAAACTATAGCTATACTATATTTCTGTGTGTGTTTTGTGTTTGTCAGGTGGGAACGGCGCGTTATATGGCTCCAGAAGTGCTGGAGTCGCGGATGGATCTGGAAAACACAGAGTCCTTCAAGCAGGCGGATGTTTACTCCATGGCCCTGGTGCTGTGGGAGATCATGTCCAGATGCAGCGCTACTGGAGGTACTGAATATAACACACATACAATATCTCTAGAAACAATGTGTGCCCTCACACGGTGAGTGGGCTTGACAAACCACCTGTAGAAACACTCTTCTCTCCACATGCACCACACACTTTACTTTAAACTCAGTCTTACAAGGACTGAATAAGGAAAACAATGTTTACTTGTGAATGAATTGCACTACTTGTTATCTTCAACCTTAAACACCTCTTTTGCATAATCTTGCACACTATTGTTGTGTCTGATGTAAAAGTACTTGTGTAGTCTGTCTTAGGTTATTTGTATTGTTAAGTATGTATAGTATATGTATAATTAGTAGTTAGCATAGTTTGATTAGTATAGATTTAAATTGCTTCTACGTCCAGTGTTGTGTTAATGGTTATGATTGTTTATGTATGTAGAACTGTGGTCCTGAGAGACACAACAATTCATTCCAATGCAGGTCCACACATGGAGCGGAAGCACAGCTCAACTTAACACACACACACACACACACACACACACAAACACACACACACTGCATCTCAGCTGATCTCATCCACAGATTATGCAATATTTATGTAAATATACATTGTGTTAAAAACATTTATATAAAATAGATAAATAAATAAGTCCGATATTATATTCAATATTTGTTAAAAAATGAGAACTGTCAAGAATTTTAGGATTAATATATATTGTTACATATACATAAATCATGCATTTAATAATTTCCCTATTTTTTTATATGACTTGTTGTACATATTTAATTTTTAAAAAAAATTTAACTGTATGTATTTATGATTATTTAAATTACCTTTCAATATTGTATGTATTTTGTAAATATTAAAATATGACAATAACATTTTATTTTAATTTTAAGATATAAAATAATATTAATTAATAATATATTTTTTGAAAAATGTATATATTTAAAATGATCTTCAACTAAAAAATATAGATATTATTATTATTGTCATAATTGTCAATTTTACATTATTATTTTAATTAAAATATAACGGTATAGCATAAAAATAACGATCAATAATTATAAAAACAAATGTAAATAATAAATAAAAAAATAAAAAAATATATATATATAATTTTTTTTTTTTTTTATATATATTTTTTTTATATAAATTAGATAAAGGTTGGTATTAAAATTACCCCACCAAAAAAGTGTATTTATATATCACACATATATTTATAGAAATGCATCAGTCAAGTTTTGTTCAATAACAGGAAGCTTCGATGTTGTGAGCTCAGCTGTTAAACGCATCATGGTACACCACCGACTTCCTCTCTCTGCTCCACGCACTTCCTGTACGACCTGTTGGTGTTTTACTGCAGTGTGAGGCTGAGCTGTTTATTCCAGAATCAAGTGTGTTGTGGGTGAAGTCTAGAAAGGATACAGCTGCAGATACACAGTTGAATTTACTGTCTATTTACTTTTATTTAATTGTATTTTGTATTTTTGTGATTCTTTCGAATGACTTAAACACCCATCGGACAAATAAACAGACAGTGCACATTAAATTGAAGCATATTTATTTAAAGAACAAACAAACAATCCAATTCGCAATAAGAGTAATAATATGCATTAAAGGGACAGTTCAGCCAAAAAATAAATATTTAATAAACAATCAAAACAAATAGAAACATATATTTTGTTTCAAACCTTTAAACGTGTCAACAAAAGTCACTTGTTAATCTGCAAAGTTGCATTTTTTGATCTATAATAATGAATATGGAGTAATAATGATTGAATTTATATAATATTATTTTAATCTATTATTATTAGTTATATTATTAAATAACAATCATCATTATTATTATTATTATTATTATTATTATTATTGTTATTATGATTATTATTATTATTGTTGTTGTTATTTTTATTATTATTATTATTTTATTATTATTATTGTTGTTGTTGTTGTAATTATTATTAATATTGATAATAATAATAATATTTTTTTTATTATAAATTATATTTAATATAAATAAATTAATATTTAATATGAATAACAATGCAATTAATTTATGTCAAATACAATTGAAGAGATCTGTAAATTACAAATAAAGCAAACTCTCAGATTTTTTGGAAGCATTCATTGTGATTTTCAGTCTATGGTAATTTAATTAGAGCCACTTCTCACGTTTTATTAGTGGAGTAAATTACTGGAGTAAAATTAACTCCAAACAGAGATAATAATCCTCTGATCTTTCATCTGATATTAAAGAGCTTTAATGCGGCCAGTTATTTATTATCGCGTATGAAAAACAATAGTTGTAATATAGAGTATGGTGCGAATATATATATATATATATATATATATATATAAATGTTTATATATAGTCAAATATAGTGCTTTATGAGGATTATACTGTACTGCATTGAGATTAAACCAGTCTGCCTCCTGCTGGAGAAATTTAACATTGCATATACCATGTCTACATATTTGTTAAAATAATAGTTTTAATAACTAATTTCTTTTATCTTTGCCATAATATTTGGATACGTAGATAGTTTTCAGCTTAAAGTGACATGTAAAGGCTTAACTAGGATAATTAGGGTAAAGTCAGGGTAATTAGGCAAGTCATTGTATAACAGTGGGATTTTTTTATTTCTTAGTGGGGACTAATAATATTTATAGCAGCTTTTATAACATATTTTTTTAGCATATTTCATGAGTTTTTAACTTTAAAATCTATAGTTTATTTCAACAAAACTAGAACAAATTAGACTTTCTCCAGAAAAAGAATATGAACATGGTGAAAAAGCAAAGAAAACACAACTTAAACAATACAAACAGAAATAGATTATCATTCACTGCAGTTATAGTGCTCATCTGTGCTCAGAAGTGTGTGTGTTGTAGATGTGCGCAGTTAAGAGCCTCCATTCGGGAAGCTGAAGGGTTTTACAGTATAGAATACAGTATAAAACACATCATGTCCATGTAGAGTCCTCATATAAGTGTGTGTGTGTGTGTGTGTGTGTGTGTGTGTGTGTGTGTGTGTGTGTGTGTGTGTGTGTGTGTGTTTTTAGATGTGCGGGATTATGAGCCTCCGTTCGGGAAGCTGAAGGGTCACCCGTGTGTGGAGAGCATGAAAGATGATGTCATCAGAGATCGATTGAGACCTGAGATCCCGACCAGCTGGAGCAAACACGCGGTACACACACACACAAACACACACACACACATACACATACATGAGAGGAGGAGCTCAAGGGATAACTCCGCCCCTACTTAATATTCAGTTTAAGTTGGAAATCAGAGTTGGTTTTTGCATATTTTAAGTACTTTATTTTTAAATATTGTGCCTTTAATTTTAATACATTTTAAATAAAATGAATTTGATTTATTTATTTTTATTTATTTATTATACATTTTTTTATAATTCAACAATATACGATTTACTATTATTCATTCAAATGAATGCTTTGTGTTTTTTTAATGAATATATTTTTATAATTTAAATTATTTTCTATTTTAATAAATTACTATTTAACATTTTTATAATTTATTTAAATTAGTCTTTATATTCATATTTTTTTCTAGTTAAATTATAATTGAATTATTCTATTTAAGAATTAATTTAATATTTTTTTTGTAATAAAAAACAGTTTTTATTAATTGTTTTATTTACATTTTTTTATTTAAATGATCATTTATTTATTTATTTTCCTAAACAATATCCATTTCCTTAAACTCTCTCCTACCAGGGTGTTCATCATTTGAGCTCCACCATTGAGGAGTGCTGGGATCACGACCCCGAGGCGCGTCTGACGGCGCAGTGTGTGGTGGAGCGCTTCGATGACATCATCAATAGTGACGTTATCCTCCCCATCAGCCCCGACACCAAGAGCGCAGGGGATTCTGGGATACAAGAGATGTAGAGCCAAAATAACAACAACATTTGCACTTTACAGCAGAACCATGCCAAAAACACACACGGTTTATAGAGCTTCAATAATCACTGTCCATTTCTGACATCAACAGATGTTTGATGCCACTGTTGTCATCACTTCAGGGAAAACCAGCAGACAGAGGAGACTTTTATCTGCTTATAAGACTTTTATTTGCTTAAAACCATATTTAAAGGCAGTGTTCCTCGAGCAAAGAACTCTGGGAAATATTTGCAGTGTTGGGGAAAGTTACTTCAGAAAGTAATGCATTACAATATTGAGTTACTCTCCAAATAAGTTATTACTTTATGGTGAGTGATGCGTTACGTTACTTTTGAGTTGCTCATTTTTTAAAACAATAAGGTTGGCAGCACGGTGGCTCAGTGGTAAGCACTGTGGGCTCACCGCAAGAAGATCACTGGTTCTAGTCCCCGCTTGGCCAGTTAGCGCTTCTGTGTGGAGTTTGCATGTTCTCCCCGTGTTGGCGTGGGTTTCCTCTGACTACACCTGGAAGTGCCGCTAGGGGGGAAGGTGTGGGGGTTAGAACGATTCCAAGGGCAATCAAAGATATTATTAGGGGGGCCCAAGATGTTATTAGGGGTGCCAAGATGTAATTAGGGGCCCAAGATGTTATTAGGGGCCCAAGATGTTATTAGGGGGGCCAAGATGTTATTATGGGGGTCAGTATGTTATTGGGAGGCCAATATGTTATTAGGGGGGTAAGATGTTATTAGGGGCCCAAGATGTTATAAGGGGGGCCAAGATGTTATTGGGAGGCCAAAATGTTATTAGGGGGGCCAAGATGTTATTAGGTGGGCCAAGATGTTATTGGAAGGCCAAGATGTTATTAGGGGGGCCAAGATGTTATTAAGGGGTCTATGATGTTATTGGGGGGGCAAGATGTTATTAGTGGGGCCAAGATGTTATTATGGGGGTCAAGATGTTATTAGGGGGGCCAAGATGTTATTAGGTGGGCCAAGATGTTATTAGGGGGGCCAAGATGTTATTAAGGGGTCTAAGATGTTATAAGGGGGGCCAAGATGTTATTGGGAGGCCAAAATGTCATTAGGGGGGCCAAGATGGTATTGGGGCCCAAGATGTTATTAGGTGTGCCAAGATGTTATTGGAAGGCCAAGATGTTATTAGGGGGGCCAAGATGTTATTAAGGGGTCTAAGATGTTATTGGGGGGCCAAGATGTTATTAGGGACCAAGATGTTATTAGCGGGGCCAAGGTGTTATTGGGAGGCCAAGATGTTATTATGGGGGTCAAGATGTTATTAGGGGGGCCAAGATGTAATTAGGAGGGCCAAGATGTTATTAGGGGCCCAAGATGTTATTAAGGGGGGCCAAGATGTTATTGGGAGGCCAAGATGGTATCAGGAGGCCAATATGTTATTAGTGGGGCCAAGATGTTATTGGGGGGGGCCAAGATCTCCCGAATGCATCCGCTGCGTAAAACATATGTTGGATAAGTTACACTGTGGCGACCCCCTGATGAATAAATGAATAAATGGACTAAGCTGAAGTAAAAGAAAATGTTTAAAAGCTAAATAATTAAACTAAAAAGTAACTCTCATTACATTTTTGAAGTAACTCAAATATTATTTCTTAATTTAAGTAATGCATTACTTTACTCGTTACTTAGCTAAAGCAATATTATTACGTAACTCACCCCAACACTGGAAATCGTGCCAAAAGCGTACAGTATTATGAAGCCACAAAAACATGAGCAGAGATTCTGAATGACATATCGGCTGATTTAAGTGTTTACTATGTGGTTCATTTTCCAGCAGACGTATTGAGGTCAAAATAATATCCATCAAATAAATTAAAAACTGAATAAAATAAGAAACAATGAGGTCATGTATTAAAGAATAATATCCATATAATAAACAATCAAAAGGTGTACAATTATAATGCAAAAATACAAGTTTAAATGCTACTTAGAATAAGAAACAAGGTCACAGACTGAAAAATAATAAGCATAAATCAAAGAACAAACATTCATTTATTGCACAAACTGAAACTTGAAAACAAAATAATTTACGTTATTGCACATATTTTCATTTGCTTTTGATCTTTGATTTTATTTCTAAATAATGACACTTTATTTTTCAAGTATTTTCGTATTTTTGCATCATAATTTTCCACCTTTTTAATTTTTCGTTATCTGCATATTTTTATTATTATTTTGTTTTTCGATCTCTGACCTTTTCCCACTACTGGGTTGCAGCTGGAAGGGCATCCGCTGTGCAAAAACATATGCTGGAATAGTTGGTGGTTCATTCCGCTGTGGCGCCCCTTGATGAATAAAGGGACTGAGCCGAAGGAAAATGAATGAATCTATGACCTCAATACTTCTGTGTGGAAAGTTAATCCTATAGTTTTATTAACGGTAAATGTATATTAATGATGACCAAAGAGAACTGAACTGTGAGTTGTATAGAGATGTGGATCTTAGATATGTAATATTAATTTGCTGTATTTGAGAGTCTCAGGAGAAGCGGTTTATTAATGTGAAAATACAGTATGAAGACTTTTACATTTGTGCCTTATTAAGCAGATTTATATATATGAATGTGGATTATTGATCTAATTTGAATATAAAATATTATTCAGGAGCTGAAAGGAGCATTTATAAAGCAAAGAAATACAGCACTCTTTGTAATGCATATGTAATCATTGTGTACAATTTTGTAAAATCTTTATAAATTATGTCAGAAAATCATTTTCGAGTGGTGGGACCCTATCATTCACCCGGTGAAAGTGTTTAGTGCAGTTTGTTGCTATTTTTAGACCAACTCAACCCTAATTTTCAGGTTTTGCACCACATTGTTTTAATTGTAAATCCATTTGCCCTTTTGTGGACTCATGCAAAGGTGAAGGTTTGCACTTGATATTGGTGGGATATTGGTGAATACTATATATATATATGTATGTGTGTGTGTGTGTGTGTGTGTGTGTAGTAGTAGTAGTAGTAGTAGTAGTAGTGTTTGTGCATATATATATATATATATATATATATATGTGTGTGTGTGTGTGTGTATTAGTATACAGCCACAAATATATGTTTTACACTTATACGCATAATGTCAAAAAAAAGTTTTATTTCGGATGAGATTAATCGCGATTGATTTTTGCACAGCACTAATGAGTTATGAATATTCAAACATTTATTCAACGCTTGCTCGGCGCAGACGGAAGTAGGCGGAGCTTGTAGCTGGCGTGTCGTGACGTCAACGCGATAGTAACCGCAGGAGTGAACGCGCAGTGAATGCGAGCGCGAGAGGATGGAGGCCGCAGAGCAGCAGCGGAGCTCGAGTGACGGCGCGGCCGCCAGAGGAGCGGGTTTCCCGGGCAGCGGAGGCGGAGCAGGTCCTGGTGGAGGCGCGGAGGGCGAGCGGGACAGAGAACGGGCCACTTTCGAGTGCAATATCTGCCTGGACACCGCCCGAGACGCGGTCATCAGCCTCTGTGGACACCTGTTCTGGTACAGCTGATCAATAATCGATATCATAACAGTTTCTGCGCGTTAATACACACCGAGAACATTTGCTATGGTAACCGAGACGAGTTACACCTATTATACCTGTTGTTATTGGTATTATCATTACTTATTTCTGTCAAGCACGAGCTGTCAGAAGGCAGACAGAGACTAGCTGACAGACTGAGGTAAAGTTCGCACGTTCGGTCATTTTAACCCTCCCTATGTTGTTTACCACGCTAATTTGAATATGTATACCTCCAAAACAAGATTACCACTGTTTTATTGACTGTAAACAATGATGGGCATTGGCTGTTAATATAAATTTCCGATTTAGAATTTGTAAGTAATACTTTATTGACATTAAAGTTAATATTAAGGAGAATGTACGAATATAAAGACAACCTTTTCCTCAATAACTGAGACGAGATGCACCTATTATACATGTTATTATCAATACATTATTGCTTATTTTTGTCAAACACGACCTGTCAAGACAGAGACTGATTGACTGTCTCTGTTGACAATCAAGAGTCTGATAATTCAATAAACACTCATAATACAGCTGCTACTGTAGGTTAGTGTTGTAAAATATGATGATATACTGTAATGTTCGTGAAAGAGTCAAACACATGACTGAAATATTCTATACAGCATTGAATTGTGTTTCATTACACTGCATTATTTTCATTGAGGTACAGTTGATTTATATTCACACATTTAGACTTTTTCATTGATAGTATCAATTCAGAAAATAATTATTGGCAATTTCTGAATAGTGAAATCATATTAGCAACCAATGACTATCAAAGCACACCATTGTTTACTGGGAATTAAATAGTCATAATGTTGTTTTGAAGACATACTTGCATGCAATTTCAGACCGTTTATTCAAAGTATCATTGTAAACAATAAAGGTAAGACATCATAAGTTGTCACTGATGTAAATCCAACTTTACCTCAGTATTATTTTGTTCTCCACATGTGATTTGGGTGTAAATGCTGGTACTTAACTTACTATGGTAAATGTTGTTTGGCATTGCTGTAGATGAATGACAGGTAGGCAAGGGACAATAACCGTTTTCAAGATAGGCCACGGTTTTGGAAAAGTCAAGGATTTAAAACCTCCAAAATTTTCTGTAATACCGTCCCTAAGGTATGTGTACGATTATTTATTTTTTATTTTTATTTTTTATTACAAAAGTATATCCTGCAGAAAAGATATCCAAAGATGCTGTTTTAAATTGTAAAGAGTGTAACGAAATCAGTGTTCTTGAAACTAATGAAGACAGCAGACATCAGTGATTTATTTGAATTATTTAGGCTAAATGTTCACTCTTCCAAAATATTTAAAATCTTTCACAAAATAAAATCTGTTGTGTTCAAAAGGGGAAAAAAAGATTTTGTTTATTACCCAGACATTTAAAAAGAACTTATGTTTAGAGTAGTGCAGTAATTCCAAACCATGAGAGCCCGTGACTTTTTATTCAAGGTTATCATACCGTCAGAATCTTATACCGGCCCATGCCTATTGACAGGATGAAGTTATGCCACTCTTGTCGTGTATTGATCATTTAGAATAGATATTAGTAAGAAAACTATTTCAAATATTATTTATTCAGCATGTTTATTTTATATTTTGTATAACAGAAACAGGTGATTTGGATAAGTTAGTGGTTCATTCCGCTGTGGCGACCCTGGATTAATAAAGGGACTAAGCCGAAAAGAAAATGATTGAATGAAACAGGCGGTGCATGTATAGTAAGAATATGTAAAGCAAACAGCTTAAATTTAGTCAAGGCAATTTGCAGTTTGGTACAGATGTTGATATTTATAGAACCATAAAAAAATAAAAAGAAATTCTGACGCTTGTCATTTTTAATAAGTAAATAGATAGATTTTATTCCAGTAAACATACATGAAAACAAATGCTCTGAAAACAAAACATCAGTGTCATTGCTCTGTAGAACAGCACTTTGGGAAATATTTGAGAATTAATAACATTTTCACAGGAGGGTTGATCATTTTGTCTTCAGTAATTTTGTTATATTTTATTGTTTCCATTTTATATTAGTATATTGAAAATTGCTTATTTAGTCAGAACTATTCATTGTCAGAACATAAGGCGGTTATAATGGAGAGATGAACAATTTCACCACTGAGGATCAGAGAAAGCAAAGGTTCTGGAAATTAAACTTTCCCCAAGAACTTGGCAAACTCCTCATTTTTCAACATAATGATTCGTCAAATGTAAAGTGCTTCAGTAAGTGTTTATTACTGAAATGTTGCAATAAAATACTCGATTTTTATTTTTGCGTATTTTTGCACATTCAGCTGAAAAGCAAAAATGAGAATCTGATAATTTACAGAGGCTGAAAATTTGGTGCATCTGTAAATCATCTAAATGGTCAATAATAGTAAGTTCAATAATAAATCTTATTTAAGATGCACTTTTTTAAACTGTAAGTGCTGCAACATGTGCAAAAAAATAAGAATGCAAAGATTTAAAAATAAGAAATAAAATAATTCAAATATTATAAAGTAATTCACATAATAAAAGTCCCACTGTAATAATCGAATAAACAATAAAACACCAGGAATATCAAAGTTTTAGAGGCCTTGATAGGGTTAATTAAACTCTAAAGTGAGTTCTGTCTTGATTGAGTTATTTAAGTTGATGATATGTGTGTGTGTGTGTGTGTGTGTGTGTGTGTGTGTGTGTGTGTGTGTGTGTGTGTGTGTGTGTAGTATCTGTGCATGTTGAGTGGTGTTAGTGTGTGATTATCAGGTTAATGAGAGATTACAGACTCTGCAGGATTGAGGTCGTAGTGCAGGAGTAAGAATAGCCGCTGCTGCTGAAGATGATGATGAAGTAACACTGACTGTGGACCTTCATCCATTATCTACTGTTTGTTTTGTAGATTTGATGATGTTGGGGATTGTGTTTGTGTGCATGACAGAATTATAATGGTAAGATAATTATTCAGTATTTAGACAGCAAACGTTTCAGGATGAGCAACACCGCTGATCTGTTTTATTTTTGACGGTATATTAGCTCATAATGATGAACTGTGAGAGTTGAAGGTAAATGATTGACATATTTGCTGTTTAATGAAGATGTTTTTTCAACACATTTCTAATCATAATAGTTTTAACTCATCTCTAATAACTGATTTATTTTCTCTTCATCATGATGACAGCACATAATATTAGACTAGATATTCTTCAAGACACTTCTATACAGCTTAAAGTAACATGTAAAGGCTTCACTAGGGTAATTAGGGTAAAGTTAGGGTAATTAGGCAAGTCATTGTATAACAGTGGTTTGTTCTGGAAACAGTCAAAAAATAATAATTTCTTAAGTGTTTTATTAAAATGGATTAAACTATGGAATATTAATTGCATCATCAAAGTAATAAATAATACAGTAAGTGAGAAATAAATGACAGAAAACAACAAAACAGACAGTATCTCTAATATTAAATGCAATAGGAACCGTGCTAACCCAGGGTGTCCGCAGGGTCTTAAAAAGTATTAAAAGTTGATAAATCAATTATGAGAAAATTAAAGGTATTAAAAAGTCTTAATCGTGTTTTTACGAGGTCTTAAATTTTGCTCAAAGTGTTTGACTCCATAAATATATTTATTTTCCTCCTAATATAACCAACGGCGTGCTCGATCTACGCGATTAGTTTGGGCTGGGTGATGTAGCTGGCATGTCGTCCGGCTGATGTCACATAATTTACTACAAACACAGAAAGGGGATGAGACACTCTCCACATGTAGCGAAACTATAGAGCGAAACAGGTGACAAAATGGGAAAATCTACTTCTGGTTGAAGAAAGACGAGTTTAAACAGTGGTTGAAGTCTGTCCCTGAAAACTTTCAAGCTTTGTTTCTTCCGAGCTTATCTGAGTTCTGTTGCATGGCTGTGCTGTGCTCCATTGATTTATTTAACTACAACTGTTTATTAAGTTAAAGGTCTTTAAAAAGGTATTGAAATTACCTTTAGGATTATACCCTGGAAACGGTGTAGATTGTGCTCTGGATGGTGTAGATATATTTAGCTTTCAGGTTTGCAGATATGTGAATGTATTAACTGATTTCTCTCTCTCTCTCTCTCTCTCTCTCTGCAGTTGGCCGTGTCTTCATCAGGTCAGTGTCTACATCTAAAAATAGCAATAATAATATATGTGTTATAATTGTATTCATTCATTTTCTTGTCGGCTTAGTCCCTTTATTAATCCGGGGTCGCCACAGTGGAATGAACCGCCAACTTATCCAGCACATTTTTACGCAGCGGATGCCCTTCCAGCCACAACCTTATAATTTTATGTGGCATGAAATGAAAGGTGGTCAGTAAGAAGGTCTCTGGTTCGAGTCCCAGATGCGTGTCTGTGTGGAGTTTGCATGTTCTCCCCGCGTTTCCTACTGGTGCTCTGGTTTCCCCCACAGTCCAAACACATGCGCTATAGGGGAACTGATGAAGTACATTGGCCGTACTGTATGTGTGAATGAGTGTGTATGGGTGTTTCCCAGTACTGGGTTGCAGCTGGAAGGGCATCCGCTGTGTAAAACATATGCTGGAATAGTTGGCGGTTCATTCCTCTGTGGCGAGCCTTTATTTTTTTGTGGATCAGATAAAGGCGGAAGAGTGTGTTTCAGTGTTTGGCGTGTGTTGAAGATGATGAAATGATGGTGTGGATACTGTCGTGTGTGTCTGTGTGTTGAACATGATGAAATTATATTGTTGTGTGTGTGTGTGTGTTTGGAGTGTTTTAGTGTTTGGAGTGTGTGTAGAAGATGATGAAATAATCATATTGTTGTGTGTGTGTGTTTGGAGGATATTTTAAATATGATGAAATGATTGTTATATTGTCGTGTGTGTGTGTGTGTGTGTGTGTTTGTTGGAGTGTTTAGAGTGTCTGTTCAAGATGATTAAATGATGGTGATGATGTTGTGTGTGTGTGTGTATTTCAGTGTTTGGATTGTGTGTTGAAGATGATGACATGATGTTGTAGATGTTGCTGTGTGTGTTGGAGTGTATATTGAAGATGATGAAATGATGGGGATGATGATATTGTCGTGTGTGTGTGTGTGTGTGTGTTTCAGTGGTTGGAGACGCGTCCCAGCAGACAGCAGTGTCCCGTGTGTAAAGCAGGAATCAGCCGTGATAAAGTGATTCCTCTGTACGGCCGCGGCAGCAGCAGTCAGGAGGACCCCAGGTACAACACACACACACATCACACACACGCTATACACACTGTACACACATTTTTAATGCATTCCTGTTCACCCACATATGCTACATCCTAATAACTAGAAAACATCCAGTCATATTTCACTGTAATAATCATAAGATCAACCTTTTATATTAGATTGCAAAATGACATAATTAGTATTTATTTATTTATTTAATATTCGTTGTTTTCACATGTGTGTTTGTCATAAAACCGCATGTTTGATGTTAATGCAACAGATGCAGTAAAATACGGTGTGTTCATTTGAATATGATGTTAAACATCTTTTCTGTCTGTCTGTCTGTGTGTGTCTGTCTGTCTGTCTGTCTGTCTGTGTGTGTGTGTGTGTGTGTGTGTGTGTGTTGCAGATTGAAAACGCCCCCTCGACCTCAAGGTCAAAGGTCAGAGCCGGAGAGCAGAGGAGTGAGTGTGATCTCGTTACTCTCTCATTAATGTCAGTGTGATGATTATAACTGTATTAATATTCTCCTGATGTGTGTGTGTGCAGCCGTTTCAGGGTTTTGGAGACACAGGCTTTCACATGTCTTTCGGGATCGGTGCTTTTCCTTTTGGTTTTTTCACCACAGTCTTTAACACCAACAACCCTTTCCACAGAGCAGGTCAGAGCTCGTCTTCATGTTAATGTCCACTATCAAGCTTTACAGTCTGATCTAAAATAATAAAGTATAAGATCATCATTAATGTTTGGCCACAATGCTTTTTGGAGTTCCTTAAATTCTCTCTGTAAAAACTAAAAATAAAAAAAAATAAAAAAGACAAATACACATTACAAATGTAAATAAAACTGAAATAGCATATAAATAATGCTACAGTAACCCATAATAATAAAGGTTTGGTCACAGTATTTTCTGAAATAAGATGTGATGAAAGATATTTATTTATTTATTTATTTGTTTATTTATTTATTTATTTATTTGGCCACAATATTTTCAGAATTCCTTAAATTCTCTCTGTAAAAAAAAACTAAAAATATACTCATCATAAATAAAAATAAAAACTGCTACGGCATGTAAATAATTCTAAATTAATCAAACAAAAATAAAATTATAATATTAAAATAAAATTATAAGAATGAAAGTTTGGATTCCTAAAATTCTCTCTGTAAAAATGAATAAATAAAAAACGCAATAGCGTGTAATTAATGCCAAATTAACCAAAATATATATATATATAATTTAAAATAAAATAATAAATAAAATTATAATAATAAAATAAATTATTATAATATAAGTTTGGATTCCTAAAATCCTCTCGGTAAAAAGGAATAATAATGCTAAATTAACAAAAATAAATAATAAATAAAATTATAATGATAAAAATAATAAAAGCATGGATTCCTAAAAGAATAATAAATTAAAAAAAAAGTAATGAAAATAAATATAATTAATAAAATAATAATAATATAAGTTTGGATTCCTAAAATCCTCTCTGTAAAATCAAACAATAATGCTAGATTAAAATAATTTGAAAAAATTATAAACAAACTTCTAATAATAAAGTAAAAAAAATTATAATGATAAAAGTTTGGTTTGATAAAATCCTCTCTAAAAATGAATAATAATGCTAAATTAACAAAAATAAAATAAAATAATAAATAAGATTATAATAATACAAATATTAAACTTAAAATTAAACTTTAGATTCCTAAAATCCTCTCAGTTAAAATGAGGAATGCTAAATTAAGAAAAAGTAAATGTAATTAATAAAATAATAATGATTAAAAATAATAAAATCCTCTCTGTAAAATTGAATTTTACTGCTAAACTAGCATAAATTAAATTAAAGAAATTAAAATAATGATAGTTTGGATTCCTAAAATCCGCTTAGTAAAAGCTCTTCTCTCTAATAACGTAAATATTAAAGTAAATAAAATAACTAAGTTAAAAACCAATTGACTTCATCTAACATTCTAATTAATGTGTGTTAGAAAAGCATGCAAATGATCTGATGTTTCATTGAATAACCTCTCATTTACATATGAATTATTTTTCATCTTGATTCAGACGCTCATTACGGAGCAGATCAGCAAGCCAACGAAAACGCAAACAACGGCAACAACTGGCAGGACTCGCTCTTCCTCTTCCTCGCCATCTTCTTCTTCTTCTGGATCCTGAGCGTCTGAACGAACACACGTATCACTCACACACACACACACACACACACACACACACATGCACAGTATTAGCGTGAATAGATCAAACACTACACCAGCTGAAGAATCTCAGCAAAACATGCAGAGTTTCAGCTGTAACCCCGCGAGAAGGCTTCATTTCTACTATAATGATCATTAAACACGCTCATCTCCTCATTCTCTTCACTCTAATCAGACTTCAGTTCACTTTCACTGGAGTAGATCACGCTTTATTTGCATTTTGGGTTGTTTCTAATCGTTTGTTGCTTTATTGAGGATTTTTGTAAAACATTAACCAGTTCATATAAATATTTTGTCATAAAATTAATGCGAGAAATGTTAATAGTTTAATACTTTTAGATCAAATATGTAAGTTTATTTTTTCATTTTGAAATTATTTTTCATGATATACTCTAAATTATTCTCCTTGTTTTTGTTCTATTATTAATATTGTTATTATTATGAAAGGATTTTTATGATATCACCCACATTATAATTATGAATTCTTCTTCTTTTTATTATTATTATTATTATTATTATTATGTAAAAACAGTTATGATACCCCCTAAATTATAATAATTTTTCTTCTTTTATTATTAATATTATTATTATGTAAAATTTAGCATATCATCTTTACTACTACTACTATATTATTATTATTATTATTAAATCATTATTATGATATCCTTTATATTGTATAAAATTTTCTTCTTTTATAATTATAATAATAATTATAATAATAATAAAAGAAGAAAAATTATTATAATAATATTGTATAAAATGTTTATAATTATTATAAATGATTTTTATAAATATTATAAATTATTATAAATAATAATAATAATAAAAGAAGAAAAATTATTATAATAATATTGTATAAAATTTTTATAATTATTATAAATGATTTTTTTAATAAATATTATAAATTATTATAAATAATAATAGAAGAAGAAAAATTATTATAATTTACGGGATATTGTGTTTTTTTCTGCATTATACTAATTACAATAGTAATGTAAAAAAAGATGATATTATGCCCTAAACTCTTCTTCTTCTTGCTATTATTATAATGAAACAATTTTTATTTGTTCCCCTTAACTATTAGTTTTTTTGTTTTTTTTTTGTTATTATAATACATTTTCTTCAGTTTTTCACTGTTGTTATATATTTGGAAGTATATAAATCAAGTTTTTAATTGTCATGCATAAAATGTTAATCGTCGTTCTCAAAATACTCGATTTTCTTTCTGATTTTGGGGTGAAATATTATTAAAAATTGTGCTTGTTTAAACTATTTATGAGCTGAAAAACAGTTTTGGAACAACTTAATAGTTCTATGTTCAGTCCACTTAAATTTGTGACATTACTTAAGTGAACTTACTGGATTTAAGTTGACACTACATGAATGAATTGTATGTGAACTGAACAGTTTATTCAGCAGGAAGATTCAGATGACCTTTATTTTAGGACCTCTTAAACATTATTTTAAGTTGAACATTAATAACGTAATATAGAGAAAACAAACATTCCTATAATGCAAAAAGTCTGATTATTTCTACATCAGGATAATATTTATAGTGCTGCCAGGAAAACTGTATTACAGAAATATTACGTTCATGAGAACTTTGCCATGCGACAAAAAAACATACATATATTAAAGGTAACTGTGAAAAGACAACAGTGCAAGAAGTCAGTATTGTAAAGTGAAATTACAGCATCATTATTTCAGCTCACAGCAGATACTAGACAGCAGCATTGTGAGATGTACAGCCAGAAAACCTTGTTCTGCAAGTTTGATTCTTGCGTTATAATAATTTCCTTGACGTATAAAGAAAAGTCTGTAAATTCAGGTTTTTACTTTGTTCTCTTTTCTTTGAAAGTGATCTCTAATATATTCAACTCACAGCTCTAGTTTAATGTCTTGTGATGTATTTTAGGGATGCTCCGATCAGGATTTCCGCAGCTGATATCGAGCACTGATTCCTTGTCATGATGATTGGCTGATACCGAGTATTCTGATGCGTCAAGCTTCATGATGCATTAAAGGTCATCTATGATGAACGCCATCTTCTGTGCGCTGTGTGGACAGAGCTGTGTGTGGTATGGTGTGTCCACAGTCATATTGGGCTGATAGAAACACAATAAGTCTCTTTTTTTTAATTTCCTGATATAAAAATAGGATTTAAATCCCTCCCATCAACCGCAACATAATGTGGGAGTGTGGTTTCCCCACCCACCAATATTGATTGACAGCTACGTATTAGCATGTTTCCGTAGTAACACGTATAATCATATCACCATGATATGACGTGCACAAAGCAACCGGGATTAAAAGATCTGTCCAGCTCTCTGTGATCATCAGTCATCATCAGATGTGATCAAGAGTGAGTTTCACAAGTTTAACACCTGTTTAAAACAGTGTATTTCACCGTCTTCATCAGCACAGCCGCGTGTCAGTGCAATTATAAAAGAAGACACCTCAATCCCGAGGATATTAAATCAGGTTTATTTTCTACAATAACATAACAGATATCCATACAGCAGTGGAGATTAACCTGTATCCTGTCACTTTTGCCATGCAAAAACAGTGTAAAGTTAAGTGTGTGTGTGCGTGCGTGCGTGCGTGTGTGTGTGTGTGTGTGTGTGTGTGTGTGTGAGAACATTCTCATCATTGCAGAAAGGCTTGAATTAACTCCGCAACAAATACATCAAATAATCATTGGGAAAGTTCCTACTGAGATCTGCTTCTTCATGTCTGTCACTGTGCTGTTTATCTGACGCAGCCGAGACAGAGGTGGAGGCACACTCTGACAGGCACGTGGGAACGGTGGGCGGGGAGAACCAGCATTAAAAGCACAGGCCACAAAAACAGCTCCAGTGTGTTCAGAGCGGCAATTCCATCATTCTGAAAGCTCTGATCAATAATCTGATGGGTGTTTCAGCTGAAACTCAACAGACACATTCTGGAGACTTAAATCTTGAAAAAAAGATCAAATAGGTGCCCATTAGGCACATTTTCCCTTTAAGTTTGACACTTAAGCGGAGATCTCTCCCTATCTAAGAGAATAAATGAAGGGTGCTGCATGTAATCCCTTAAACACGTCTCTTTTAATCATCTAGTGTGGACATGTGACGGTCAGAAACGGCTTTACCGAAAATAATCGATCATAAACACAGCTTTCAGATTTTATTTATGTGAAAAGGCCTAAATGCACACAAGAGCAGTCCAATCTCCAAGTAGCACATCTGTGACCGCAGCTCCTGTACACACACTGAGAGAGACAGGGATGTGCACTCCAGATTAACTGTGCTGTTCAACAAAAGTAAAGCTTAGAACATCACTGTGCCTTTCACGACCTGTTCTCTTGCTAATTCACTCTCATCTCCGGGATTTCTGGGGTATTTTATCTCATTTAAAATGTCTGCGAATGCAGATTGGCGAATACTGATCGAGTCTTAAAATGTGATTATCGGCCGAAACCAAGCTCCAGCTGATTGATAAGAGCATCCCTAATATATAGATATGCATATTCAGATGTGTTCTGGTGTGAGGGATGACCCGTGTGTGTGTGTGTGTGTGTGTGTGTGTGTGTGTGTGTGTGTGTCTGAAGAGTTGCTGGAGGTTTAGTTTCAGGAAAGTTTGAGCGCCATCAGCTAATGCAGATGATCAGTCCTGCTTCAGTCTCACAGTGTTTCCACAACAGCTTTGTGTGTGTGTGTGTGTGTGTGTGTGTGTTTTGTGTAAATATGAACTCTGCATTCTTAAAGAGACAGTACACTCTAAAATGCAATTCTGTCATCATTTACTGACCCTCCACTTCTTCCAAATCTGAGTTTCCACACACACACACACACACACACACACACACACATCAGCATTAGCGTTAATAATAATCAAACACACACACTGAATGATGACTAACAGCAGAATGAGCGCACATTATGCATCAAATACATGAAATATTATTGCTTTCTGGAAGATTCTAGAGGAGAGGCTTAGCTTTCATTTCCTTTGAAGTCATCGTGCTGGTGTGTTCTGATGTGGTGTGTGTGTGTGTGGATCTTGTTGATGACGTGTTCTGATGGTTTGTAATCCTCTCGGTTTTAACTGTTTGTCGATGTAACAAACACCTGTGAAAAACACACGTATTATTTCCTCTTGCTGCAAACTGATTGGCCGGTTTGGCCCACTGACCACGCCCACTTTTATTTAAAAAGTGTCTGCAGGATGTGAGTGGGCGGGGCTAACGGTCTGAGTACGTTAAGATGATTTGTGTGTGAATTTAGTTGAAAATGCTCTTGTTTGTCTGTTTTCATATCACTGGCTAATTATGTCCGTCTCTTTTGATTTGCATAAAGTCCTTTGGTAGCTAAGTTGCATATAATTAATGTGCATATATGGGGCAGAAAGTGGGTGTGGCCTGTTCTCTGGCACTTGATAAATAAACATTTAATACAAGCTGTGTGACGTTTCTAATTATTTACTGTATTGTCAAATGAATTTATGTGGTTGTTTAGGATAATCACCATAGTAACTCTTAATTTAAATATTTTTATAAATGTTTTTTTTGTATATTTTGTAGGCAAATGAGATTATAAATAGCTAAAAATGCTAATTCATGTTAGCAGCATGTTAACGATCATGCTAAACATGTTTAAAATGTTGCCACATGAAAGTCATGCAAGATTGCTAGCATAAATCATGTTATCTTTGACCTAAAAAGGTTGTAAATGAGAGCAACAATGCAGTTAGCATATGCTAAAACATGGTGCAGCATGCTAACGATGAAAGCAATACTAGCAAGATGCTAAATATTTAAAAATATCTGCAACTTTATAACAGCCATTTGCTAAAATGTTTTAAACATGCTGGCAACAATGGTGAAACATGTTAGCCGAACATGCTAGCAAAATGCTACATGTTAGCAGCATGCAAAATGAGCTTGTAAGTCATTATATGCTGAAGTTTGATCATCATAACCCAGTCTTTACGCCAGTAACTTAACATGTGAAGACAGCATGCTAACCTTTGAAAACATGCTACAAATACTCTAGCAGCAAGCTAACAAAACGCTAAGCATAATAGAAAGAAAGATGCTTGCAATGTGACGCTAAAAACCTTCTAGAAACAAACTGGTAGAAATGCAAAAAAAATTATAATAATGGGATAGCATGTTTAACATGATATAATACATGCTAAACGTATAAAGATGATAAATAACGATAAAAACATTGACATAATAGTTAAAACATGCTAAACATTATGAAAAAAATAATTTCAGGATTGAGCAAAAAATATGACTAGTAGAACATGCTAGCAACAATGCCAAAGTATGTAATCAATATAACAATATAAGGTTAAAACGTGCTAATTTGTGTTAGCAGCATGTCAAAGATGATGCTAAACATGTTTAACATGTTACAATCATGAAAATCACATTGAAAAGATTATAAATGAGTTACAATTCAGAGCTAGCATATGCTAAAAACATAGTGAGTTATAGAAGCATGCTAATGATGAAAACAATGCTATGATTGCTATTACTAGCAACATGCTAAATGTTTCAAAACATCAGCAACTAAGAGTAACATTAACAATGTGCTAAAACTGTTTAAAAAAAACATCCTAACAGCAATGGTGAAACATTTTAGCCAAATGCAAGCAATGTGTAAAACATGCTGAAAAAATGCTAATGGTGTTAACAGCATGCTAAAGATGATTTAAACATGATTTAAATGTTAACATTGTTAAAGGTGATGCTAAACATGTTTAAAATGTTACCAACATGAAAATCGTTAAAGATTGCTAACATAAATTATGCTATCTTTGTACTAAAAAGGTTATAATGAGCAACATTTCAGTGTTAGCATATGCTAAAAACATGGCGAGTCATGATAGCAGCATGTTAACAAAGAAAACAATACTAGCAAGATGCTAAATTTTAAAACTATCAGCAACTTTATAACATTAGTCATGTGTGCTAAAATGTTAGCCAAACATGCTAGCAAAATGTTAACATGTTAGCAACATGCAAAATGAGCGTGTAAATCATGATATGCTGAAGTTTGATCATCATAACCCAGTTTTTACACCGGTAACTTACCGCAGTTACTTTATAAATGACCTGTTGTTAGCAACGTGAAGACGTCAGCATGCTAACCGCTAGAAACATGTAACAAATATGCTAGCAACAAGCTAAAAATAATGGTAAGCATCTCACGTATATATCTATGACAAAATGTTAACAGCACGCTAAAATATGACAATAATAGACGGCAAATACAGAAGAAACCCCCTGCTCATACGCAATGTTTTCATTCTCTTCATTTTATTAACACATATAGTTCTGTCTTTAAATAAATATCGATTTCCAGAATCAACTAAATCACTCAGAACCAGATAAACAATCACATAAAGCTGTTTCAAATGTAAAAACAGAATTGCTCACGCATGTGACGTTCCATAAGTCAGATGTTTCTGTTGCACAGAGCGAGCTTTAAAACAACAGATTATCAGCTGCTTATTAATCTGCATTAATAATCACATGTGCAATATGCATGTCTAAAAACATCCACAAACTAAAGTAGCACTATGAAAAGATTAAACACATCTAAAATAAACGTGTGTTTTGTCATAAGCGATATGTGTGTGTGTTATATATGTATATCTGACACACACACACACACATGCATAAAAACAACAATCTGGTCACACAGATATTTAAAATGCTAGCTAATCTGCATCATATACATAGAAATGTGGTATCTAAATATAAATAAACATGTTCTCAGATATATGCATGCATGTGTGCATCACATACACATAATAAACACACACACACACACATGTAATGTCAGAAACTTTTCATTTAAAACGTGTGATTTATTTGTGCACAGCACTAAAAACTGCATTAATATTGAGTGCTGATAAACGCTTTGGCTCACAGACGTCACGCTGAAGGCTCTACTCCAGCTCACGTCATGCATTTCTGTTGAAAAGAAGTTAAAAGTGCACATATTAAAATAAAAACTGGCACATGTTGAGTAGGAACATCGCTTCTCATGGGTTTGGCTGTGATTCGGCGTCTTTGGTGGAGATTGAGAATGAGGGAGTGTGTGTTGAACTAGAAGCTCTCAGTAACATCTATTAAAACAGTAATAATGCGGGTCTAAAAGTGTCTCTAGAAGCATCTGCATGCGTCGTGTCAAAGTGACGGTGCTCGAGAGAGTAAAGGCTCATCATGTTAGCCCGTCTTGGGCTGTTTGTTCTTCTTGTTGAGGATCTTCATCAGGTTTTTGGACATGAAGTAGGGTTTCTCTGCGCTGCCGTCGTTTCTCTCCAGATCCTCCACTGAAGGACAGAAACACAAAGTGATTTAGAATTTGAAATACTGTGTTTAAGGTGTTATTTGAGTGTTTATTGTGATGATATTGAGTGTATTTGTGTGATGTGAACACTGAAATGGTGAAGCCCAAGATCAATCTCCACTTGCGGACAATAAAGAGAGTCACGTCAAAGTAAAGCTGATTTCGATGTGCTCAAATAGCAGATGCTAGTGACCCCTGCTGGTCAAAACCGTGTAAATGCCACAAAAACACAAGCAAAACATGCAGTACAACCAATAATATCCAGCTATTGCAAGCATTAAATAGAAAGTATAACCTATAGATGCTCTTATTGTATCATCTAATAATAGTGAAGCCTTTACATGTCACTTTAAGCTGAACACTAGTGTCTTGAAGAATATCTAGTCTAATATTATGTGCTGTCATCATGGCGAAGAGAAAATAAATCAGTTATTAGAGATGAGTTATTAACACTATTATGATTAGAAATGTGCTGAAAGAATCTTCTCTCCATTTAACAACACTTAGGGGGAAACAAAATAATTAAGTAATAAAATTTATATAATAATCATTAATATAATAATAATAATAATAATTCTGACTTATATAAATAAGTATATGTTGAATGTTTCTATGGTGGGCAAGAAACTATTAAACATTAGTAACTATTATTGCTTTGTATTTTAAAAATGTCTCACTAAAACATCTAGAATCTTGAAAAACTGATCTGGTCACGTGACTTTAGTAAACAGCGCTTCATTATGATGTCCTTATTGTTTCAAAATATTTAGAAAAGTCAGTGGTTCTCCACTAGGGGGCGATCTAAATGATTGTATTTATGGCATTACACAGATCGCCCTCTAGTGGAGAACCACTGAATTATACACATATTTTAAAACAGTATGAACTAATAAAGCACTGTTTACGAAAGTCAATCACCATGTGAACTTTTCAATTTGAAACTCTGAAAACACTGGTTCAAAACAAAAGATTTGTAAAAGTTTCAAAGCTCAGTGAGGCAGTGTTTTAAAATCAGTCATTACTATGGTAAAACATTAATGTGTGTGTGTTACTCACAGAAGCACAGGAACAGTGTATCTACACCCATGTTATAGACACTGAAGAAGCCATGAGCGATCAGATACGCTCCAAACACCACCGTCTGTCACACAACAATAGTCCAAATATTAATCAGACATCCATCAGTAACATTCAGAAATCTGGAGACTGCTTTTGTGTGTAAAAAATCCCATGCTCATTAATTTGATAGAAAAAAAAAACAGAATAAAAACGACATATTTTGAAATATTTTTAATTTTTTTTAATTTTAATTTTAATTTTTAAATGAGCATTTCCACCTGATTATCTTCATGTTTTCCATGCGATTGTCTTGTAAAATGCCATTTTTTTTATATTTTAGCATGGATAATTCAATCTTCATTGTCACATGATCAATCAGAAATCATGTAATATGCAAGGGATGGATTATATATATATATATATATATATATATATATTGCTGGTAGTGTAGATGATTACCAAATTAAATTCATTCATAAATTTAAATAAAAAATAACAAAGTTTTTGTTGTTAGTTTTTGGTAAATTGATTTTTCATGTATCATCATGATCATTAAATACATTAAAAGTTGTAAATAAATTTGTCACAAAGGATTGATGTGCATTGTTCAATATTCTGATGTGCTCATGATATCAATGTTGTGCATGCTCATTGTCACCGTATATTGATTATCAGCACATGTCTAATTATATTCATAGCAGAATCACATCAGATAAGATGATGTTTGTGTGCATTAAT